AAAAAAGTAATAATAATAATATTAAAAATAATGAAACATGGCAAAACACTGATAAACATTTTAGTTGTTTTGCTCAATATACAAAAATCAAACCTAAAAAAATCACCAGCCTAAATGCATTCATAAATATGTCAGCTATACTCTGTGAACGTGAGATAGGGCATCGTAAATTCGTCTAGATTAGTGGTAAATGCTGCGCCTATAGCGAGGCAAAATGAAATGTGACCCGAATCAAATGCAAAATTCATTTGGTATTTACAGTTTGAAGCACAGCCGGAAATCAGGCAGCCATGACGCCATCTTTCAAAATGGCCGCTCGTGCCGATTTCATTTTTTTTCTCCCCGCTATATTCGCTGCTGCTGTAGTCGCTCTCAATCTTGGGCCGTTTTATGTGTGGGTGTGTATGTGTGTTTGTGTCTGCCTCTGGTGATTAGCTGTCACGAATTGTGGCGAAAAACAAAAATGAATTATTACCGCGCTGCGTACAAAATGTTGACATAGATTCAAATTATTTGTAACAAAATCAACGAACTGTAGCGGCACCCATCGCTGCTCCTGCCCCCTCCCTCCCACCATCGCTATGCGCCACTTCTTCTGCTGATTAGATTAGCTTGAAAATGCTTTGCCTGAAGTGAACGGGGATGGTCATGCAAAAGAGTTTCGTCGTAAATTGCCCATCCGAGTTGCTCTGCACGTCTTTACTATTTATTATAGCCACAGCAAGATTCAGCAACAGCAACAACAACCATCCCAACAACAACTCTGCAAATAATTTGTGCAATTAATAAAGTTTTCCACAGAGCAACTATTGCTTGTAGCTCATTTACTCTGAAGGCCATGCCCAAATACAGTTGGCCATAATTTATAAAGAGAATCTGGCCTAGGCCAATGCTATTGTCATCAATACGCCTCGGCTTCGGCCTTAGTCCCCATAATTATTAGAGCCCGTATCGAGCAATTGGTTTTCCATTTTTTTTATTTAGATGGTTTCAAGGCAAAGGCGAATGGCTAAATGGGGTATGCTGTAGCTTTGAAGTAAGTTAATATAGATAGATGGGAGTGTTAAACGAAAAGTATGTATATGAATATTTCATTCATCAGTATCTTTTTCTGGTTCCGTTAAATGTATTCCTTATCGTCTGTTATTCTATAAAATATAATTTAAATATATATTACACTAATCAATAACTTTTACTTTTCTCTAAAATCTCAATTTAATTAAAAGTCAGGGTATTTTCGAGTCGAGCATTGCCGACGTTACTTGCTCTGTTTGCCTTTCTTTGATTATATTATGAACAATAGGGGCTGTAGTGCTGCTATTGCTTTGGCTTGTTTACTTTTTGGTTCGATTGTTGTTTGGTCCTTGACTTCTGGCTGCTGGTTGCTGCCTTTGTGCGCCATTGACTCATAATCGAGAATAGCTTCCTGCAGGTTGGGGATTCGTTTCCATGCCATTGCCCGGGCATTCGGATATGCCTTTGTTCATGGCTGTGTGTCAACTTTAATTCTGTTAATTTTTGCTAATTTTTGTTTCCTTATTTTTGCCAACAACTTTGCTCGTTAAACAAAGGCGGCCACAAAAACCAAGCGGCTTAAATGACAACAGCTTTTCACTGTCTTATTTTAATTTTTTTTTTACTTTTTGCTTTTTAGTAGACGCAAAAAAAAAAAAAAAAATGTAGACAAAAGGTAATGTCAACTAAACCCCATCGGCTTGAGCTTCATCAATATCATCTTCAGCCTTCGCTCACTTGTGGCATTAATTTCTGCTGTGTAAGCAGATAAATTGCAAAACGCTTACCGGAAGCTAAGAGTCATCGGCATTAAAATGGATACCACGCAACGTTTGCACAAGTCGACAATACAGTCAACACCGGAGGTGTCTATTACAGCAAATTTAAACAGTTCATAAATTGAAAAGCACACGCTTGAGGGACTTCTGCAAATGCTGCATGAATACAAGTTATTAATATTTGGAGAGTTGAAATTAAGTTAATTTCAGCTAAAGCCTAATCAAATTTGATGGCCAAATAAGTTATTGACAGAAAGCTTTTCGCATCGACCAAAACTTCTTAAAGCCTGCAGCAAGGCTTTAAGTTTTCGCTTGACTTTGCTGAAAGTTTTTGTTTTCTCAGCAAACATGGCAGGGCTCAGTTATTACAAAGCTTCCAGCTGACATTTTATATTATATTTAAGTGACCTTTAAACATTTTGTATATAAGTAGTTAAATATTGATACGGCTTTGACTTTCTGGCTTGCATTAGCTGGATTATCGCACGAACTGCAATTCAGGCACCCCGTGGCATAATCAGATTGCCATCTAATATTTATAATTGGAGCTTGCAGCATTTTGCCTGGCCAACGGTGCGTATTAGTAATATTAAGTGCAATGACAAAGGGCATAGGGCAGAGGGCAGCGGGCAGGGGGCGAGGGGAGAGGGCAGAGGGCAGCTGTCGACTGTCAGCAGTCGTCTAATTACGTCTAATTGCACCCAAGCAGAGCCGCAGGCATCCGCACACATTAGCTAATATGCTCCATGTGTTGCCTCGATAAGCTCGCTTAGAGTTTGAGCTGTTAATGTGCGGGAATATGGCTAAACGAAAGCCGTATAACGTATTTAAAACACAAATGAATAAGTGTGTGCGTGTGTGTGTGTGTGTGTGCGTGAGTGTGTTTAGTGTGAAAGTCAATTATGCATTGTGTTGCTGCTGTTTGTGGTGCTTCGCAAACAGATTTCGCTCTAGGCGTGAGCGCCCAACAAGGATATTCAAGCCATGGCTGGCATCCTCTATGGGAAATTGTGAACTGGCGCGAAGCTCTTTGAGTTGCCGGAATCTGGAACTCAATATTGTGCAAGGGTCTATGCAAACAATCGGCATGAAGCTGTTTGTAATGCTGCAATCGTATCACATTATAACAGCGTTGCCCCTTCCATCAGCGTTCAGGCGAGATAAGATTAAGTTGCGGCTGCAGCGAATCACCTCAAAGATGTTGGACAATTAATTCTCAGAAATTTGCAGGTGACACGATGCTTTGGTGTGATAGTGTTTCAGGCGCTGATTCTCATTAATGCCATGTCTATAAGGCAGTGTAGTTGTCATGCTGTTTGATGTTGCCCGCCTTTAGTCATTAAGTTATTCAGAATTGATCTTAGAGTGCAGTAGATGGATTCAAGGAATAAAACTTGGTTATAATTTATAGTTAAATATATATATATATATAATTTTTTTTTTTAAATTCCAGTAAGCTAAATCTTTAGAATATTTCAACATTAAAATGAATTTTTTTCAGTGTTGTATAATGATTATTTAAAATACTTTGCTGTGAATACTAATTATTTGTATTTAGACGCATATAAAGAGGTTTTGACTACTCCAATCGAGAATATACTATATATCTTAAGGGCCCCGCCTCAAAATCAAACAAAATATTTTTTTGTCAGTATTGTAAAATACATTATAAAATAAAAATGAAACTAAACTTATTTTATTTTATTTTTTAACTTTTTCAAACACTTTACCTGACATTAATTTGTCAAAAAAATTTTTTAAAAAGTTGTATTTGCATTTCTTTTAGTTTTCTCAAAGAGTATTTTGATGGGCTCCAAGATATGTGCATTAGCTAGGAGCATAGCGAAACATGTCCAAGTGAAGTGGACACTGCAGCTGCTGCCCTTACTAATAGTGCTCAACCATGTGCAAGAAGCGATCCAGTCATCGTTGCAACTGCGTCTAGAGGCCGGGTCGATGGCCCGCATAATTAACAGCGGTGCTCTCATAGGTGCACTCTACGTGGTGTTTGATGTATGCTTGATCCTGGTCGGCGCTGGATTGATCCTGAGCCGCAGCAAGCAGAGGACGGCCGTCCCATTTCTGATGCTGCATCGCACGTTGCGTTGCATCTTCATTGCGAACTTTGCTCTCGAAGATGCACTCAGCTATTCTGTAGATATTGGCTCGCTGCTCTTGTTATGGGCGTCGAGGCGGAATCAAGAGGCCAAGTTGAATAAGCGCAAATGGGATATTTTGCTCTTTCTCTCACGCATCTGCATGAGCTTCAATTATTTGTCCTTGTGCCGTGCAAAGAATGTAGTTTACATAAAACATTCGTTGATTATTGAGGTATTTAAGTAATTGTTTGCTCTTGCTTCTAGGTCATCAGTGGTTGGTTCTCGTTAATTTGCTGCATTTGTATGCTGATTGGCTTTAACTGCCGGCTTGTGGCGTGCCTGACTGCTTTGGCTGTGATGTGGCAGGCCTGCTGTCTGGTCAACTGGTCGTTCATATTCGGCTGGAATGATCTGACCATTAGTGTGTCCTTAATATGTTCGCTGTTCGGCAAAGTGGCTGGCTTTCTGTTAATGGCAAGGCTCGGGGCTGGCAAGTGGTCCCTGGATGCCCGAGCTTAGTTGCCAGTTCATCAATGCAACAACAATAGCAACAACAACAGCAACAACAACAGCATCAGCTTTCAACACGTGCTTCGCTGGCTCAACTGAAGTTGGATTAAGATATAAAAGTCATTAAGCATTACGAGCCAAATGATTATTTTTGTTTCTCTTCTTTTCGGCAAACGATGCTTCGCTCGCAGATTTACATGCAAACATCTAGAGTCCGCCCATTGACGCCTTAAAAGTGACTATACGAATACTTGAACTGACTGCCTGTTATACCCTATAGTCATTAATCGCATAGGCATGGGTATGCTATGGCAGAGCAAATAGGAACTTTAGATATGCGGAGAATATAAATCCAAAATGCTCAGAGACTATTGCTAAGTATGCAGCTTAGCTTGTGAGCTATCGATAAATATCGATTTTTAGATATTCCTATTTAACATTTCTATGTAAGTATATATTTAATAAAACTATTTTATTTAATTTTTATGCATTCATCATGCAGCTTGTCTAATAATTTATCGATAAATATCGATTTATACCTATTTTTCTTTATCAGCTTAGCAAAGCTCTAACTCTATATTTAAGTACGTTATCCCAGAACGTACAGGGTATTCGTTTAGTTGCTCAAAGTCGGGCAGCACAATGCTCTCCTGTATTTTATCTGCCTCTATCTGTAGCCATTCGGTTTTTATGCCAAGCACCTGGCTCATGATGAGCACTTGAACGGCCTTTGATTCGGTGTCTGTTTTCTTCATTTTGTTTTCGTTTGGTCTTTCGTTTCGCTTTTTTTTTGCGTAAATTATTGAAAAGTCTCGAGCTGTAGCAGTCCGGCTGCTTAAGCGGATTTACCATACACCATTCGCCCATTGCCCGCTGTTTCGTATTTTTGTTCTTTTTTTTGTTGTTGCTTTCTCTCTCTTTCGTGTCATTTCATGGGCTTGGCTTAAGTAGGAAATGGAACAGGAAGACGGAGCCGGACAATGGCCATGCTGCAATGTGGCGTGTTAAATGCAACAGCATGAGGCACAAGTCAACGGCGCCAATGGGCGTGGCTTAAGAGAACCCGCACCGGGCCGTTAATGAGTTTTTGGCACAGCGCTTGCATTTAACAGCTGCAGCGCAGAGCGCAGAAAGCCAACGCTGACCTTCGCTCTTGACTTAAAACCCATTTGCATAAGCGCTGCCGCCGCCGCCACCTCTACCAGCACCAGCATCAGCATCGTCTTCACATGAGCACCCGACCGCCAAAGAGGATGTGCTCGCTGCTGGCCAGGGCCTGTTGCCGTTGCCGTTGCCGTTGCCGTGGCCGTGGTCCAAGTACAACTGCTTTTTTGTTTATCCAACTGACGTGGCTTGTAAGCTGGTCTGGATAGCGTTGCCTTAATTAAAAATTGCCAGCGATTTATTGACCAACGTAAATGCAATTGACAGCGTGATAACCATATACACATTTAAAGCAAGCCGAACGGCCAATGGGTAACAGCTTTAACCAGAGTCAAATATAATAAGAAACTGGCGTTGCCAGTGTTGGAAAAGAAAGAGAAGAAATTAAGAAATTGTATGGCCAGACTATAAAATTTGTTGCCAAGATAGCAGCAGTGCTTGAGATGAACTTCAATGCAAATACGAGTATACTGAAACAGTGTTGGAAAACTATAAAATATTCGTAATGTTAGTTTTGCCAGTTTACACAAAATATTTACAAGTGGGCCCACGATAAGGGTTAGTATCTTAATTTGCAATATTTTCACTTTCAGTGTTGTAAAATGCGTAACAAAAATAAATTTATATATATCTATATATCTACATTGTATAACAGTTGTAGTCTGTAAATAAATACTTCAACAATTATCTTCGACTTTGTAGCTTTACGAATTGTGCAACACTATTTGCGTAGATTAATCAACAGCTTAAGGGCAGCCGGTGTCATTGTCGCTTGGTCATATTTTGTTCTTGGCCAAATGTTATGCTTATACCTCCGGCCACAGCAGTGCACGAAGAAAGGCGCCCTTTCGTGCAGCAACGGATGCGCAGAAAGGGACTTGTCATAAAAGTGCAGTCATGTAATTTTCTAAATGAAAACAGAAGCGAAAAAAAAAAAAATGAAAATAGAGAAATAAGAAAAGAAAACGAAGAAAATGTATTAAAATGCAGGCCACCGCAAAACAAACAACAGCCATAACAAAACAACAAAATTTCTAAACAGAACGCAATTTTCGCAAGTTGTATTAAAAATTCGTAAAGGGGAGAAGCGCCAGAAAAAAAAAAAAAACGAAATGAATATAGGGAAACAAGCAACAACAAAGAAATAAAAATAAATAAAATAGAATGACAAACGGTTCGCTCAACAAGAAATATGCAAATGCAAAAAGTGCGATGTCGCCAGCGTAGGCGGATTAGAACGAGCGAAGTATGCGGGCTTGACACGTGGCGTATGAGCAACGGCATTGCTTATACATATGCAAATGTGTTTAATTAAAATGGTGCAACACGCCAGCGCCTCTCACGTGTGAGCGTGGGTGTGTGTATGTGCCTGCGTACGCTTAACGGTTAATGCACATAGCAACATTTCACATTTGCATAAGTAAAGCAAACTAAATACTCGCTGAGACAATGCAAAGCGCTCGGCAGCTCTGCCAAGTCGACCCCGCACAATAAAATTATATTCCCTTACCCACACACGCACACACAGCCACGCCCACGGCTACGCCCACGCCCACGCCAACATTACCACGCTCCCAACCGCCATGGGTTTCCCAGCTGAGCATTTAAATCTATTTACCTGCGTCGTAGGCAGCACACCGACTGAAGCTGCTGCTGCTGCTTCTACTGCTGCTGCTGCTGCTACTGCTGCTGCTGCTGCTGCTGCTGCTGCTAGTGCAGATAAGAGTAATCAAATAGTCGTAAAGTTCGAGTGTGTGTATAATTAATTTGGCAACGCCTGCAAAAACAAACCACAAGAATTGAAATTGAGAGCTGACAAAAGTTTTCAACAAACATTAAGTTTCCAAACTATAAGTACTCCCTCGCCCCCCTCTCCCTCGCCCTCACTCACAGCCTTTCGCACTTCGCCACACTATTAGCTCACGTTCCCAAAAGGTTTTTCCTTTCGAAAAGCTGCAGGTCTCTGAGAATATGCAATTAGTGAGAAAGGTGTTTTACTCGGGGAAGTAAATATACATATACATAAATAAAATAAATATGTATATTTCATTAGCAATATCATATTGCATTTAGACACACAATTTGTTATACAGAATAGAAATTGAATACATAAAATTGAAATGCAAGTAAATGTAAGCAAAGGAAAATATTTACACAAAACATTCTGTATACATAAAGTGTTATACGTACCATAGAAGTAATTTGATTAACTGCTATGGAACTTATATATATGCATATTGAACAAGACTAGTAAGCGTATATGAAATAAATCGTAAATATAGATAAAAGTGTTATATTGATAGTTTACTACATTTTAAAGTCTATTTTCTATAAGTATGATCTTACCAATTGTGTTATACGGTGTATATTATGTATGCACATCAAAAGACAGCCTAATTTATATAACTGCTATACTGTTATATAAGCCATTATGTATGATGCTTAGACGGTCACAATGGGTTTTCCCCGGACTCGTGACTTTTTTATGGATGAACCCATTTCACTGTATAACAGCACTAGAACAAATTGTTATAAATTGTTATTTTAATATCTTCATTGTAGAAGAGGTTATGCAAAGTGTTATACAATATGTACAAACTAATATATGGTGTACCACAATTTATTTAAACTAAAATTATATGTCACATGCCATACAAACTGTTATACTTTAGATTACACAAACTGTTATGGAACTATATAAACTGAATTATTGTATAACACAAGTTATACAAACTTGAATACTGTATAACTGTAATACTGTATACTGTTAAACAAGTTTTTGTACTGTATAGCACAATTTGGAATAACTGTTATACTGCAAACCAGCTGCTACAGCTCGTTGTTTATCTGCTTTTGAGCCACAACATCAACTGGCTTGTAAGCCCGCAGTGCACATCACCGAATCTGTGTGTTTTCCTTTCAAGGAACACGACAGTTTGTGTGTTTTTGTCTAATCCATGCGGCTCGGTTTGCTTGCATGTAGCTTTGGCTTTAACAAGTTCTGACTTGGGCATTTAAATTCAACTTCAAGGCTAAGAGGCACACGTACGAAACGAGATGAAATGAAATGAAATTCATTTGGGAGCCGCCGCAGCGACAGCGTCGCATTACGTAAAAGCGCTTTTACGGCTACATTTGCAGCACTCGTACACACATACACACCCATACAACCCATACACACCCATCGCATTGGCTGAAGCCCAGGCAAATACACTCACGTAGTGGCAGTATGATGATGCCTTTCATTGCGGCACTTGGGCAACAAAATCTAGACTCTCCACACTCTCGATTCCGCAAACAGGTTAAACAGCCAACCGGCAAATGGCGCAGACAATAAAGCTTAGGCTAGAAGCCTGTGCAGCTCCAGCAGATCTTTTGCTCCATATTTACTCGCATTTTCGAATACTTTTTCGTTTTTGGGTCTCACCAATAAATTCGAATGCCAGCTTACATTTGAGAGTCGACAGTAAATGGGCTTTTCCCTACAGAACAACTTGAATATCCGAATTATTTTGCGTATTCAAATGCATTGCGAAATCATTTCGAACGTTCAATAATAATGCCAGTTTGTTGGGTTATTAAAATGTCATATAAACGTTTGCGCTGACAGACTTTTTTCTTTCTCTGTGTCGGCCACAAGATACGCATATGTTANTATACTTTATGTGCGTTTTTAATAGTTTGGTTATTCTAGCAGATTCTTAGAATCACATCAGCAGTTAGTTTCGTTTAGTTTTGGTAGATGGCGCTGCAGCAGTGAATCTATTTGAGTTTTGCCAGCGCCACTAGCAGGAGTGAGGTGGCCTAGTGTGTTAGCAGCATGACGCTCGATCGAGGAGTCGCGGTTCGAATCCCGATCGATGCAACTGATGTTAATTTTTTTTAATTGTTTCAAAATATTTTTATATTTTATTAAATGAGTTTGGTATTTTATTTATATTTTTAAATACATCGAAATTGAAATTTCAGCCATACTAAATGAGCATTTTTATTTGTTGGGTTCAGGGTAGTATCTAGTCGAGCACTCTCGACTAGAGTTTTCTTACTTGTTTATATAATCTTTTTTTTACGCAGAGGTTTTCACGCGCTTGGAATTCGTTTTTGCAGGCGCCAAAATGTCAGCGACACGTATTCTAACAGCGGCAATTTATCATAAATATGCGCACACACATATGCATATGCATATGTATGA